ATATTTTAATGAGATAGGCATACAAAGAAAAATCGATATACAGTGGTTGAAAGGGCACCCTGGGGAGAGAGGATTGTGTTATTCCCTTTGCTCTTTGCAAGAAAAAAAAATGAACAAACAAAAAAAAAAAAACCCAGAACTGTGCTAATTTCTCACAAGAACACCATCAACCAACTTCATTCTTACAGATCAAAGTATCTTTTTCTGTCCAAAATTAAACAGCCTCAAGACTCAGTGATAAAAAGATATCTAAGTAGCCTCCAAATACTTGGAAACCAAATGACAGAACTCAAGTCAAGTCAAAGTTAAAAAGAAAAATTTTAAAAATATTTAAATACAAATCAAAATCTGTCAAAAATATTAGGAGTGAAAGAAGGGATATCATATCAGATATGCAGATATTAAAAGGATGACGTGGGAGAAATTATGAACAACCTTCTTCAATTAAACTGGAAACATACATGAAACAATATTTTGAGGAACATAAATTTCTAAAGTCTACTGAAAATTTTTGTATGGAAGGAAATCATTCGAACACTCCATAACTTTGAATTGTAGTTAAAAACCTTCCCACATGGCATGCTCAAGACTTAGATGACTTTACTTATGAATTGTACTAAATATTTAAGAAGAAAGAACAAAAGTTATAAACAAAAGTTATAAGAAAACACAGAAGAAACAGGCTTTAACTCATCTATCAGGCCACCACTATAGCCATAGCAAAATAAATGACATTATAATAAAAAAAGAACTACAGATGACACAGCTTCTAATAAAAATTAGAAAATTATTCTAAATGTAACATGGCAATATCTATCACGACCACCTGGGTTTTTTTTTCCCAGAAATGCAGGGCTGATTTAACTCTTTAAAAAATATAATTGATCTTATTAAGAAACTAAACAGAACAAAACTTAAGATTATTTCAATAAATGGAAGCATAACAGTTGACAAAATTCAAATCAATTCATAATGAAATTGCTGAGAACGTAGAAAGAGAAGGGAATTTCCTCATCTTAGAAGAAACATTTATTTACCCAAGAGAAATGAAAACATGTAACCACCCAAAGAACTTTTCAAAGCAACTGTACTCATCAAAGCCAAAATCTAGAAGGAGCCTAAACTTCCAATTGGTAATAGAGAAACAAATTTTGGATTTTCTGTACAATGAAATGCTATTGAACAATAAATGGAATGTGGTGTTGAATCATGCGGAAGATTATACAATAAGGAGTACTGCACCCCTGCAGCCGTCTTTCTTCTTAATCTCTCTCTAAGGTTTATGAACCAGATAGTCAAAAAAGCACAACTGAATAGTTATTTAAGCTATTATTTTATCACAGTCACAGTAGGTGCTTCATGGAAAATACATAATATGTACATTATAAAGCATAATAAGGCCAATGTGGTTTCCGGTATGGCTTTGCTGAGACGTTTAGCCCATGTTCTGAAAGATCGATAGGAGTTCATCACAAGAAAGTGGAAGAAAGGTTTTGGTGAGAGGTCTTTAGTATCATTTCACATGCATAGGTCAGGACAGAGAGAGAGGGCTGGTGCTTGTAAGGAACCAAAAAGGGGTCAAAGAAGCAACAGCAGATACGAGAGCACTAGACTGGAACAAAACACTTAGGGCGTCTTATTTATTTATTTTTACACAGAAAATGGGAAGCCATTATTTTGTTGTAAGAACAGCAGAGACAATTTATATATATGTGTTTTGAAAAGTCTATGGACATCTTGTGAATGGGGTTGCAAAGTGGACCCCTTAGGAGATGATTGTGGTAGTGAAATTCAGGATGGAGTGGCGGCACTGGGGACGAGGAAAAGGGTAGGTTGTAAAACAAGTCTCAGCCTGTCATCTTCACAGACCTGTTATTAATTAAATACCACTATTAGATTAATCGAGGACTTGCTTTTTTTTCTTACGTTTTGTAATAACAACTTTTCAAATGTACAGAAAAACTGAAACTATTTTACAGTGAGCATCCATATATCCATTGCCTGGATTCTATATCTAGATTTCACTTTTCCACATATCCATTCATCTTTTCATTCATCTCCCCGTCTATAAACTATTGCTGTGTTTTGAAGCATCTCAAAATAGGTGCAGAAATCAGCACACTTTGCCACAAGTACTGCAATATACATATCATTACCTGGAATTTAATACTCAGAGAAAATTTTTAGGAATAAAATTTGCAAGCAATAAAATCTATAAATGTTAAGGTACCACTTGATAGGTTTTAGAAAATGCATAGTCCGTGTACCCCAAATCTTTTTCAGAACAGAGTGCATTGTCCTTACCCTTTCAGTCCTCACCCTCAACGCCGTAGGCTTCTACTGCCGTTACAGGATACACTTATCTGGGTGAATGGTAAGAACTTCCACAGAGTCTTATTTTGCCATTTGTCTATCATCTTTAGTGAAGTGTTGTTCATAAAAAAAACTGCATGGGGTATTTTAATTTTTAATATTGATTTGCAGAAGGTGTTGCTATATCTTGGCTATCAGTCCATTGTTAGCTATTTATTTTATGAAGATTTTCTCTCGATCTTGCCTATTTATTTTCTTAATTATGCTATTTGATGGATAGTAATTTTTCATTGTTTTACTTATTCAATTTAATAATTTTTTCCCTCATGGCTATTGTGTTCTCTATCTTGTCTGAGAAATGTTTGAATACTCTCAAGCAAAAAAGATATTCTGCTATATTTTATTGTAAAATACTTATTCTCAAGGTTTTAGTTTTTATGCTTAGACCTATGATCTGCCTCTAATCAATTTTTGTGTGTGGTGAAAGGCAAAACTTGAGCCTCTTTTTTTTTTTGACATAGGTATGTTGTTATTTCAGTACCATTTCCTGTAAAACCACCCTCTTTCCACTGTAGAGTTATTTGGTACCTTTGTCAAATATTGAAGGACTCTATAAATATGGGCCTATTTCTGGACTTTCTATTCTATTCCGTTGGCAAACATTAGATTGTCTTGATTGTTTTAGTTTTAAAGTAACTCTTAAAGTCTTTGGTGTGAGTCTTTCAAATTTATTGTTTATTGAGATTGCTTTGGATATCTCATGTCCTTTGCATTCCAGTATAATTTTAAAATTAGCCTGTTAATTACAAAAACAAAGAGGGCTAGCGGGATTACAAATGGGTTTATGTTGAATGCGAAGATCAATTTGAAGTAAAACGGCTTCTTAAAAACACTGAGTTTGCTGACTCACTGAGTTTGCTGACTCATGGTGGCCTGCTCATTTCCTTGGATCCCCTTTAATTTTTTTCAGTAATATTTTACAGCTCTGAGGTACTGAAGGTCTCTTGCTAAATTTATTCAACAGCATTTAATATCTGTGATGCTATTATAACAAAATATTTTTAAACTTTCATCTTCTGATTGTTAACATAGAAAATACAATTTTTTTGTTTTAATCTTCTATAACCAAGCTAAATTTAATCTTCACTTTTGGTTTCTGTTTGATTGTTCAGGATAGTTTACGTAAAATTATGTATATGTAAAATAATATACATACATACATACATACATATTTCTTCTTTCTGAACCTACCGCCTTTTATTTATTTTTATCTTATTAAAACTTCAGTATTATATTGAACAAAAGTAGAAAGAGTGGACTTCCTTAAATTTCCCCCCATCTGAAAGAGAAAATATTTAATAGTTTATTATTAACCATGTGTTAATGGTAGGATTTTATAAATTTTGTTTCTCAAGCAGAGCGTGTTCTCTCCTGTGACTAGTTGCTGAGAGTTTTTAAAATCATAAATGAGAGTAGAAGTTTGCCAAAAGTTTTTTCCTCTTTGTCAAAGTCATGTTATTTTTTCTTCTTTATTTTATTACTTGATGAATAATATATAATGACGGCCAAATGTTAAACAAACACTCCATTTCTGGGATAAACCCAGAAATGGTTTGTCCAAATATATGCCTTTTATATACAGTTATATAAAATTGGATAATATTCTACTAATGATGTTTCAATTATTATTATGAAGATTATTAGTCTATGATTTCCTCCTTCTACAATATCTTTATTAGGTTTTGAAATTAAGGTTATGTTGGCATCATAAAATGTGTTAGAAGGCCGAGGCAGGTGGATCACGAGGTCAAGGGATCGAGACCATCCTGGTCAACATGGTGAAACCCCGTCTCTACTAAAAATATAAAAAATTAGCTGGGCATGGTGGCGCGTGCCTGTAATCCCAGCTACTCAGGAGGCTGAGGCAGGAGAATTGCCTGAACCCAGGAGGCGGAGGCTGCGGTGAGCCGAGATTGTGCCATTGCACTCCAGCCTGGGTAACAACAGCGAAACTCTGTCTCAAAAAAAAAGGAAGTGTTTTTATCCCTATTTTCTGAGAGAGCTTGCTTATGATAGGTCTTGTTTTTTATATAGCCATTCACATTATCTAAGCTGTAGAAGATGTTGGCATAATGTTATCATTACTCCCTTTTATCTCTTTGGTGTCTGTAGTCAAACCTGTCTTTTACTCTTGATATTTGTGTTTTAGGCATCTCTTTTGCGTCTTAATAAATCCAGCTTGGAAGTTGTCCATTTGTTGATCTTTCAGAAGAACTAAGTTTTGGCCATGATAATTTTCTCTCATTTTGAAAAGTTTTTTGTCTTTGGCTTTTGTCTACAACTCATTAAGTTTGTTCTTTCTACTGACATTATTTTATTCTTTCCACTTACATTAAATTCACTGTGCTTTCCTTTTTCTAACTTCTCTAGTTGCAAGCTAATATCAGTAGAAAGTGTAAATATTTATTCTCATCAAATATGTACATTTAATGTCCTACTCTCCCCTCTAGGCTCTCACTTAGCCACCTCCCACAATAGGTTGTAGTTTCCTTTCAATTTTATTCAAAATATTTTCTAAATTTCTTCATAATTTCTTCTTTGACTTATATATTATTTAGAAGAAGGTCGTTTAATTTCCAACTATTTTTGGAAATTAAAAAATAAAAATAAACAAAATTTTGAAATAAATACAAATTCTGATTTTTATTTATTTGTTTATTTAATTACATTGACAAAACAGACTCCGTATAAATTAAATCTATTACACTTACGGAGGCAAACTTTAGGGACAAGGATATAATCAATCTCAGTAAACATATCATGTGCCCCTTGAAAAGAATGTGTACTTAGCAGTAGTTTTGTGTAGCATTCTATAAATAACAATTAGCTCAGTGTGCTTGATAATATTGTTAACATTATTTATGCCTTTACTGTTTACGTAGTTTTCTATCATCAGTTTCTGAGTGAGGAAAAACATTAACTTTCACTGGAGAATATTTGTAGCCTATGGTTATGCAATCATATTTATTTACATGGTGTTCTACGTTTTGTTTTTCCTAAAAAAAAATATATATATATATATATGTATATCTGTATGTATGTGTACACATACATACAAGTAAATATACATGTATGATATATAAAACAATATCTAACAAATATACACATATATGGTTAGTACACATAATTTAGGTAATATTTATGACAGAATTATTAAAGAAAACCAATTTATTTCTAGGAAAATGGCAAACATGCCTTCATTTTCTTATGTTCTTTCTTTCTTTCTCAGTTACATAAATGTTTGAAAAATCTTGCTGGTTAGTCATGAAACCAGGGCTCTCAACTCACCAGGTGGCGCTCTCCAAAATTTCACACCATTTCTTAAGAAATGATCAATCTCCTAAAATCAACATGGCAAAATAAAATCCAAGAAATGATAACAAAATACAATCTTTATTAATTTTTCTCTCAAATAAAAAAATTCATATAGTTTTTCATAACTAAATGCTCCGTATCAGAGGTCTTTATTGTGGCTCAACCCTAAGTGACACGATGTGTATTACTCAGGATGTTTTCTTCGTGTTTTAACCATTGACATCACCACACTTTGAATATGTTTTACATGAGCTGATAGCTGTTTAGCAGTGTTATTCATTATTATTAATGTATGAAAAAATATAGTACATTTAATATTCTGTTTATGACCAAATTAAATTTCATCTACTTAAAGATATTAATTTATATACTGATTAATTACGTCAATTTAAAAAGTCATAATTTAGGAGAGCATTCCAGTGGCTTTGTTCTTCCTCTTTTACTTTGAATGGTAGAGGCAGAAGGTTAGTTGAAAATTCTGTATGCAATCCTGCTTTTGTTTCGGACTTAGGGCATTCTTGTTATATATTAGATGTGTTTATTTTATGTCTCTCTGTGAATGATGTAGCTCAGCAGTGCTTGGCCTCTGGGTAAGAAGAAACTATTGAGTTAGTCCTGGCTATCAATTGATACCAGTAGGATGGACAACTACTTACATTATTATATTATTTTTCATAAGATGCTGTACTCTGAAGTCCTTCCCATTTATCAACCTAATAGCTCAGCGGGTATCTCCTGCAGCCTTTATTGTCTGGGTCAGTTAGCTCTGGAGGTTAGAGTGGTGATTATGAGGGCCAGGCTTGTGGTTTTAATCCCTATATGGGCCCGTTAGTTTCTCAGTTAGGAAAAACCCTTGTGCACAGCAATCACCTGCACTTCTAACCTCTCTGTCTTGTAGTTGAACGCCAAGGGTTATGGAAATGACATGTCATGGGAATGTAGAAGACATGGTGCAATTCATCTTTACTACTAGAGAAATAAATCAAGGCACATATTTCCTTGACTAGATGTTTCTTTCATCCTTAAGTGGAGGAGCATACACATGGATTTGAAGCTATATATGCTTGTGCTTAAATGAATTTTTTTGTTAAACCAAATATAAACTCAAAAGCATCATTGAATTTGAAATATTAAAAGATAAAGCAGCTCAATGCCTGAACTTTGGAACCCTTTGACAGCTCACAATGCAGCACATCCAAACCTCCAGAAACGTATTTTACTAAGCTCAGAAATTCCTTCACAGTAATTTGTCATGTTTTCCAGTCTTTCACAATCATCACATTTGGCCTTTCCCCAGGTGCATTTAATGTTTACCCTTGTTTGGATCGATGGCCCAGTTCTCACCTGTCTAGGGTGGTGAGCCTTGGCACAGCTTGGATTAAATCTTCCATCTCTCATACAGTTCCAATTTGCTGTAAGGATCCACATTCTCTCACCAACACTCCTTCATAATGGAGTCCCCTTTTGACTTCGTTATGAGGGGAAAGAAATTGGGGTCTTCACTCCTCATCTTCCTCCATCCATTCAGTCAAAAATATCTTTTGGCTATCTGCTTTCTTCCAAGTGTTGTATAAGAGGGAGGAAAAAATAAATGAACTGCTGTAAGAAACTTATGATTAGGATGAAAAATAGGAAGTGGGCATACTTAATTTTAACTCAATAAAGATCATGGACCAATGAAACAGTGTGTCTGAGAAAAGTAGAAGCAGGGCTGTAAGAATACTTAAAATCCCGAGCTGTGTTCAGTGTTGAACTTCATTGTCCTGAATTGTATTCACCCCATAAAACAAAGTGAGATTTGAAGGCTAGTGATATGGTTTGGTTCTGTATCCCCACACAAATCTCATCTTGAATTATAATCAATAGTAATCCCCATTCATTGAGGAAGGGACCTGGTGGGAGGTGATGGGATCATGGGGGCAGTTTCCCTTATGCTGTTCTCATGGTAGTGAGAAAGTTCTCATGAGGTCTGATGGTTTTAAAGTGTGGCACTTCCCCTTTACTTGCTGTCTGTCTCTCCTGCCACCATGTAAGACATGCCTTGCTTCCTTTCTCCCTTCTACCATGACTAAGTTTCCTGAGGCCTCCCCAGCCATGTGGAACTGTGAGTCAATTAAACCTCTTTTGTTTATAAATTACCCAATTTCAGGTACTATCTTATTTTATTTTATTTTATTTTGAGACAGAGTCTCACTCTGTCACCCAGGCCGGAGTGCAGTGGCATGAACTCTGTTCCCTGCAACCTCCACCTCCCAGGTTCAAGCAATTCTCATGCCTCAACCTCCTGTGAAGCTGGGATTACAGGCATGTACCACCAAGCCTGGGTAACTTTTGTATTCGTAGCATACAAATTCGTAGAAACCTCAGGGTTTCACCATGTGGGCCAGGCTGTTCTCAAACCCCTGACCTCAAGTGATCCACTCAGCTCAAACTTCCTAAGTGCTGGGATTACAGGCATAAGCCACACACACAGCCTCAGATAGTATCTTTATAGTAGTGTGAGAATGTGCTGATACACTTAGTACAATTATTTTAAAATTGTTCCTTGCCACTTTAAGTTATGTGATTTAAGTTACTTAACACAAATCTTATGTTTTATCACCCACCTGCTTTAAAATAATTTTTAAAAACCTATTTCAGTTATCAAAGCCTGATTTTCTTATCAATATCTCCTGCTATTCCTCTTTTTAACAGAGCAAAAGGAACTCAAAAAACAACCAACTCTACCTATTTACTTGCAATACACATCCTAAATAACCTCATCGCTCACGTGTAATGTGTAGATGGATGGAATCAAAACGTTAATATTTACTAACTTTTGTCATCAGAATTGTCTTTATCATTTGCTGTGGTTTACCAATATTTCTCTCTGTACAGCGTTAATTCAGTTTTTTCTTTCTTTCTTTGTTTAAAAAAGAAAGATAGAATTAATTTTTCCTTGAGTTTTCCTGCCCCAATGATATATGTTAATTGCTGGAAAAATACATTTCCAACTATATTTGTGGTGTAGTGGGTTAAAGTTTGAAGGAGCAATTGTTTTCACACACTTTTTCCTCGGGACATTTTCAGCACTGAAATTCAGGTCATGGAGAGATAAGTTAAAGTGCTGTTTTAGGAAGACCGTCAGGGGACAGATGCAGTGTTTCTTTCGTATGCTTCCCACTTTGTGTACACAGCACTGAGACATGCATAGAAGAGCTCGCCAAGATTACCGCACCTGTGGAAGGATGTTAGGAAGAGAAGCTTCATCTCAGTCGGTGGGAAACCATGCCTCTATGTCCCTGTATGCCTCTTCCAAACGCCACCCAGACGTGCTTGGTTCCTTTAAGAGAAGCAAATATTAATACCTCTCTTTCGTTCCATTTTCTCTTCATGCCCTGTGTCTTTTTGACCTCTGCTGAAAGCCGCGTGTGCCTTGGCTCTCTGTTACAGCCATCATACTTGGTGGTGTAATCGTTAAGGTCACATAAAGAACCAACCTTGAAAAAGATGACTCAAGCTGGATGTTTTTCTATGAAAAAGAAGTGTATGTTAATGGACTCAGAGAAAGAAATAAACATTGTGTCTGATCCTGTGGGGTGCAGTAAAGTTTTTATGCCAGGAGCTGGGAATAATCACATCACTCATCTGTGTCACAAATATGAGTGAGCCAGGAAGGTTTTCTCTGTCAAATTGCTATAAAGCTTTTCTCGGTACTGTCCCAGCCCATTCCAATTTTTATTTATGACAGGTGTTATCTCCAGTTTACTTTCTTTATTTTTCCTTTTTTGTTAAGTTGTGAGCAATGGAACTTATATGCTTAACCTTGATAATGTGATAAAGAATACATAACTAACGTGGAAGCCTGGTTATTTGGTCATTTCAAGGGATAAGAGTTGGGTAGCATGACGGAAATGTAAGGGAGACAATGAGTAGCTAGAGGCACATGGACTCACTGAGTTCTGACTGGTCTTTGTCTGACACCATGAAAGCCAGCATATTTCCAGTGTTACAGCCATTCATTGGCATCCTATGGGGAAGGTGTCTTTGTTGGGATGAAGGGGTATTGGGTCAAGAATAGGTTTATGACAGAATGATTCTGAATCCTCAGAAAGATGTATAGGCAATAAAGGAAGTTTAGGAAACTAAGAAGATAACGCTCTGATTCTTTTATCATAGAAAACATATAATTAAATGACAATGGTAAAAATAGTAAAATGCCATAGAATTTTTGTTTCTGAAAATAATAGAATATCAGGAATTAGATTTAAACTCTTGTCTTGAACAAGCAGAATACCAAACAAAATGTATTAAACACTGGTTTTCAGTACCGGAAACAAACCACACAAGACAATGATACCTGACACCAGACAATGAGTGAAGTGAACCCTGTGGCTGACTCAGCTTACAACCTCAAGAGAATTGCAGGCTGCAGTACAGGGAACCCCTACAGTGCCTGGTTGCCTCTCTAAGTTGAGAAGGCAGAATTTTTAGGCTGATAAGGCAGAATTTATTTATATAGGAAAGTCAGGCAGCTACAAACACAATGTAAAATATTAGCAAAGAGGTAGCTATCATGAAAACTTTGGAGTTTTAAGGATGAGTCGCCTTAAGAGTTCAGCAGAATACAGAACAGTACTTATAACTGGGAAAAGATATCAGGCAAGCAGAACTATCCCAGGAGCTGACTCTGGGCTAAGAATAGTAGCGTGTCCCCCTAGACAGAGTGAGAAGACCCACTAACACACGGAATGGCACTTAAGGAGAGTTCTCAGAAGGGTATGACCTTAGTACTCTGGTCAAGTTCTCTCTAGATTAAGGGCTTCTCTTTTCCCAGCTAAGCATGTTTAAAAACAAGCCTAGAAATAATTGACCGATTCAAAGAAACTTAATTGAATCTTAGAAAATAGCTGAAATATAGTCAAAGATATAAGGGGGAAAAAAATCACCCGACAAGATTCCAATGTTAAGAATCTAATAAAAAATTACGAGGCATGAAATGAAGCAAGGAAAATGACCCTTAGTGATGAGAGTAATCATTCAGTAGAAACAGACTGCAGGAAGTGGAATTATTAGACAAGGATATTAAAGAAGCTATTTTGAATATGTTCCATAGGTTGAAAAAGTAGAGGAATATCTGAGCATTTTGAGGATGGATATGAAATGCAAAAATACTCAAATGAAAATTATGGAGATGAAATATACAATGTCTGCCATAAAAATGTATTGAGTGAGATTAACAGCATATCAGCATTGCAAAAAAGCAGGACAAACGAACTTGAAGATCTAACAGTCAAGACTATCCAAAAGGAAATCCAGTAGGATTAATGATGGAAGAAAACATGAGCAGAGAATCAGGGGGCTGGACAACATCAAGAGGCTAACAATATTTATAACTGAAATCCTTAAGAAATATTTGAACAAATATGACCACTGTTTTTCAAATTCAGTAAAAGCCTACATATATAGGCCTAAAAATTTGTATGAACCAAAAGAAGAAGAAACATTAATAACAGAACAAGGCTGATCATAATCAAATTGTTTCAAATTAGTGGGAAAGAATCTTAAGAAGAAGCTGCCCCAAAAGTTGCCTTATGTATAAAGGGCAAAATGAAAACAGCATAGGAGACTTCTCATTAAAATGCGCTAGCTGTCAGTCCATGGAGTTGCACATTTACAGTAATCGAAGGAAAAATTATCAGAATTCTATATTCAGTAATATTTTAAAAATTTAAGGTAAAATAAATATTTTTGGAATCTATGAAAGCTGAACAAATTCACTTCTGATGGTCCAGCAGAAAAAGAAGAATTAAAGTCCTTCAGTCAGAGGGAAAGGATTCCAGGTAGAGATACTGATCATATGAATGAATGGAATGAAGAATGCTGAAAATAGTGTAGCATTCATTCATTCATAATAACCTGAGCATCAGAAGCATTTTATTAATGGTATTTTATCTCTTCTCATCAGGTAAAGTAAACACTAGAGTAATAAGAAAGATATATTTCCTTATTTTTAAAAAATTATTTGAAACATAACTGAAACATGCAGCCATAAAAAACGATGAGTTTGTGTCCTTTGTAGGGACATGGATGAATCTGGAGGCCGTCATTCTCAGCAAACTGACACAAGAACAGAAAATCAAACACCGCATGTTCTCACTCATAGGTGGATGTTGAACAGTGAGAGCGCATGGACACAGGGAGGGGAGCATCATACACTGGGGTCTGTTGAGGGGAAACAGGGGAGGGACAATAGGGGATGGGGAGTTGGGGAGAGATAGCATGGGAAGAAATGCCAGATATAGGTGATGAGGAGGAAGGCAACAAATCTCACTGCCATGTGTGTACCTGTGCAACAATCTTGCATGTTCTTCACATGTACCCAAAAACCTAAAATGCAATAAAAAAAAAAGAAAAAAGAAAAAGAAATAACAACATAACCGAAAAAACTCAAAGGAGTAACCAAAACTCTCACTTCAAGAAACCAAAAAGGATATAAGAAAATAAACACAAAACAAGTAGAAGGAAGGAAATAATTAAGATTAATGCAGAAATTAATGAAATTCAAAACAGAAAAACAATTTTAAAAAATCAATAAAAGCCAGCTGGGTGTGGTAGCTCATGCCTGTAATCCCAGCACTTAGGGAGGCCAAGGCGGGTGGATCACAAGGTCAAGAGATTGAGACCATCCTGGCCAATATGGTGCAACCCTGTCTCTAAAAAAAAAAGGAAAAAAATTTTAAAAATCAATAAAACCAAAGCTACATTTTTGAAACAATCAAAACAATAAATTTTTTACAAGACTGACAAAGAAATCAAGAGATCAGACACAAATTGCTAACATTAGGAACTGTGTAGAGAGGATACCTCTAGAGACCACAGAGGTATTAGAATTATGGTACTACAAAGAACTATGTGTACATAAATTTGACCAGTTGGATAAAATGGACTAATTTCTTGACAACTACATATTGACAAAGAACAATTCACCAATAACCCCATTAATACCCAGGTGATTTAATTCTACTGAATAATGAAAAAATAACAATAATCTGAAGCAAATTCATTCAGAAGTAGAAGATGGACACTTCTCAAGTCATTTTATGACACCAGCTTTACTTTGATGCTGAAAATAGAAAAAGATAGTACAAAGAAGACAACTTCAGAACATCGCACATGAACACAGATACATCACACTTCAGCAAAATGTTAGCAAATACAATCCTGTTATGAATGTATAAATCTATCTTTCCATCCATCTATTGAAATAATAATGTATTACTAACAAATCAGATTTCTTCCAAAATTCAGAACTTGTTCAACTTTTAAAAATCAGTTAATGTAGTTCATTATATTAACAGTCTAGAGAAAAGGGAAAACACACACTAGTATTAACAGACACAGGAAATACACTTCATCAACTAGCCATTTTCTTAAAACTTTTCAGTGGTTTCTGATAGCTCTTAGAGTAAAGGATAAATTCTGCCAAATGTACTACAGCTCAGTTCTGAGATGGGCCCCTATAATCTCTGTGGTCGTACTCTCCTATACGCTTCTGTGAGCCATACATGCTTTCTCAGGGTTCATGGCTGATAAGATCTTTAATGCCTTGTGTTATCCTGTCAAAATTGTCTCTGCTTTGAAAAATTTTCTCCACCTTTTAATTTCTCCCAATCACTGAGTTTTGGCCTGTGTGTAATATAACCAGTGATACTTTCATGGAAAGGCCAATTCATATAAATTCTTATGCTTTAACAACTTTTTATACCAATTCCTATTTGTGATTATGTTCATATAATTTAAATTTTATCTACACATGTGCATGCTTACTGTTCTCTTCCATCTAATTCATATTAAGCCTTCATAAATAGTTAATAAATGAGTAAATTATCTGCTTTCTTTTTACACCTTCATAATGACTGGATCATCAGAAACACTCTACTATTGGTATTTCATCTCTTCTCATCAGGCAAAGTGAATGCTTGGGAGAAAATAAGAACATGCTAAAAGTATCATACAACCCATTTTATTTTATATTTAAATAGTTTTATTATTTTAACTTTAATGGTATAATAAATGTTTATTAGCATTTGTCATTTATTCATTAAATGAACATTTATTGAGTTCCTTACATGGCCACACACAAGTGCTGGACGAGTGAACCAGACAAACCAAAGCCCCCAAATCTATGAAGGACACAAGTATGTGGGTCTCTATTATTGTTGTTCCTTTCATTTTTAAGAAACACAATGTAATGAATTAAAAGAAAAAGCAGTTTTTGGTCTTCCTCCTTCAAATGAATAGTAAGAAAGATAACTATTCACATATAGTTAAAACATTTGA